TTGGCGGCAGAGTAAGTACAACCCTTGAGCTTTCCAGGTTGGAAGCCCCCCCAAAAAAGAACTCAGAGAGATTTTGGCTGCAGGATGCCAGGAGGAGGTGCGGGAGGGGGAGGATGAGCTCCGACTGGGGCAGTTAATCCATGGCAGCGAGGAAATCATGGCTCAGCCGCTCACGGATTTACGTAAGAGGAGAGAGGGGCCTTCTGCCATGAAAACAGACGCGCGGCTCCATGTCCGGGGCTGGATGTGGTCCCACGCACACGGCGGGGCAGCACCAAGATGCCCTGATGGCTTTTTTGGCAGCTCTTTTTAATTCAAAGCCACCTGCTCACGCTGCCTGGGATGCTCATGCCAGGCATGGGTGACCTGCGGGATGCAGCAGCACTTCCAGGGGGACTCCGGCAGCAAAGGGGGTTGGCATTGGGTCTCGTGAGCATGCTGGCCGTGTCACAGGGGATTCGCTGGGGTCCTTCACCTCCTCCCCATCCCACCAGGCTCCATCCTGCGCCGCTGGAAGAGAAACTGGTTCGTTCTCTACCTGGATGGCAGCTTGGTTTACTACCACGACGAGACACAGCGCGACATGGACGGCCGGATCCACATCAAATACAGCTGCCGGGATGTCAGGACTGGCCGCGAGTGCAGAGGTGAGCAAAATCCCGTGTCCCCAAGCCCTGCGTCCCCAAGCTTGCCTTGTGCAGGACTCTCCACAGAGCTGTAACCCTTTTAAAAATTACGTTCTGCTTGTGCACCTCTAGGATAACCCAGAAATAATCCAGGCTGCCTAATTCACCCCTTTTAGCTTCCAGCCAGTGCCACACCATCCCCCATGAGATACACATCCCATCTTCTCTTCCGTTGCTTTTCCCCAGGGAAGGAAGGAGGGAGAAACTCTCCTCCTGGTTTGTGCTTGTTCAAAACACAATCCCATGGCCCTGACTCATCTCTCGCCGTCTCGCACAAACAAGGAGAACAAAGCAGCAGCTCGGCTCAGCCCCGGCAGCCCACGCCGCCGCACAAAGCGCCTTTCTTCGGCTGCGAGCGGCGGCAATGGCGAAGGTGGGATGCCACGGGGGGAGCCCAAACCCAAAGTTTAGGGTCCCGCCGAGCTTTGAGGCCAGGGGAAGGTGCAGGTGTAAACAAGCCTCATGGATTTAAGATTTTCTTCTTGCTCATGATCCAACCCCAGAGGCTTCGACAAAATTTGGGTGCCTGCTGCAATCTGGCAAATGCAAAGCAAAGGCAGCTCGGACGAGATTTTTTGGCAATTTTCTGTCCTTCCATTTTCTTTCTGCCATGGGGGTGGAAGTTTCTGCTCATGAGCTCTTTGCTCGTGTTGGCTTTTAACCTTTGAGATCCTGACCGCATTGTGCAAGTGGAGAGGGAGCTGAAATTAAACCCAAATTGCGAGCAAGGTGTCGCAGCAGGTTTTTAATAGTTGCATCTGTTAACAGGGGGGCTGCTGGTGCCAGCGATAATTTTGAGTCCAACCCTCTCCCAAGAGGGTCCGTGGGGGGACAGGGAGGGTCTCTGGGGTGTCTCTTTCACTGAGGCCGGATCCTGCCCCTTTTATTTCCAGATGTGCAGCCCCCCGAGGGGAAGAGCCGCGACTGCCTGCTGACCGTCGTGCTGCGGGACAGCTCCAAGACGATGCTGTGCGCTGAGAGTGAGGATGACGCCATGTAAGCCAAAATATCACTGTTGCGGCACCAAAATCCCCTTGGCAGCTTTTTCATCCAAATTATCCGAGTTTGGAGCAAGCCTCAGCCAAACGAGAGCCCCATCCTTCTCCCACCACGTCCCACCCACAGCTAAAACCACACAGAAACCCTGTTTTCTCAAACACCCGCATTCACTCTCAGGGCACAGGCAGCGACTTGGTTTTTCTGATGAATATTTCAGAGCCCAAAGCAGCTATTTTTAAGCAGTCGGTCTCTGTGGGGCAGGTTTCCCTCAAGGATGAGAAATCACATCTTGGCCTGACTAAGAAGCACTGGGGAAGGGTTTTAAATCTATTTGGCAATAAATAGTGTAAAAGTGAAGTTGGAATTGGCTTAAAGCCATGCCCAGCAGGAGGTAACACCCACTTTTAGCACTGTTCCCCTTTATTTCTAGAAAAAAAATCAAAAATTTATTTTTTATAAAATTAAAACATTTCTAAAAAAAAAAATGTGTCCGGCGGAGCTGCCAGGCAGCCCCACGGGGACAATTCCTGCCACCAGGCACACCCCAAAACCGGGTCCCTCTGTTCTATTCGCAGCGCTTGGAAGATGGCCGTGCTGGAGGCTAAATCCACCCCGGTGAGGCTTCGTCCCCAAAAAGAGTGGCACCGTCCTGGTGCGCGCTTCGGGCAGGCGTGGGGGAGGGGGGTGACACCAACCTGACCCCCACGGGGTGGCCCCCCCAGACCCTGCAGCCACCAGGCAGCCTCGGGGCACAGGGAGTAAAACCCCTGGGGCCAGACCAGGGAGAAAGTGGAGGAAAAGCGGTGGTGACAGAGCAGTGAGCTCGTGATGCTACCAACGGAGGGTGACAGAGCAGAGGGTGACCCTGTTTAATGGTGGGTGGGGACAGTTAGGGCAATCGGGCAGAGCAAGGGTGACAGGGGACTCAGGGTGTTGGGGGACACAGTTAAGGGGAAAACGGGCAGAGTTAAGGTGATGTGGGACACAGTTACGGTGACAGGGGCAGAATTTAAGGTGACGGGGACACAGTTAAGGGGACAGGGACATGATTAAGGTGACAGGGGACACAGCACAGGTGACCTGAACACAGGCAGGTGATTCAGTTGCTTGAGCAGAGGCTGCTCCAGGCATTTCGGACACTCTGGGCAGCGCAGGGGAACCCCAGGGACTCAGGTCCCCGTCACCAGGGACATGATTAAGGTGACAGGGGACACAGCACAGGTGACCTGAACACAGGCAGGTGATTCAGTTGCTTGAGCAGAGGCTGCTCCAGGCATTTCGGACACTCTGGGCAGCGCAGGGGAACCCCAGGGACTCAGGTCCCCGTCACACTTGGGGGAAACTGAGGCACAGCCCTGGCACAGCCACACCGGCTGGGCTGTGGCTCCACCGCACCCCGTGCAGCACCCAGCCTCACGCCACGCTCCCACTGCTCCCAGGTGCACGTCTACGACCCCTACGACGATGACTACTACCAGACGGTGCCCCTCGACTCCCACCAGACCGCCTACATCAGCTCCGGCCACTACGGCCACCAGTACGGAGGTGGGTGGCCCCGGCCGGTGACACGGGATCCTTGGCTGGATCCCAATTCACCCCCTCCCTCCCCTTCCCCTTCGTTTTGGGGAATAATTAATTCATCTGGGGGGGAGGTCAGGGCTCCCCGCTCCCACAGATCCCCCTGAGCAATGGTTTTGGAGTTTTAGCTGTGGCTACACATGACAGCCAGAAATGGGGGTCCCCTTCTGTCCCAGGCCACCGGCAGCCCTTGGGGGAAGCAGTGCCACTCTGTTCGCATCAGGGGGGTGCCAGGAGGACGGTGTGTGTCCCCCCCCCAGCTCACCCCCCGTTTTGCCTTGCAGCTCCCGGGGTGACCCACGTCATCGTGCGCGAGGATCCCTACCGGGTCTCCGGGGACCAGATGGCCTTGGGGCTGCTGGCGGGGGCTGCCACCGGCGCCGCCCTGGGCTCCTTCATGTGGATGCCGTGCTGGTTTTAGCAGCCCCCCCAAAGAGGATCACAGCCCCCCCAAC